GCTAGCACTGATTCATCTCCCCATATGGCGAGCAGATCCCGTACCTCCCGTTCGGTCCATGCTGGAGCTCTTTTGCGATCCTGGAACTCCATCATGGTTACCTGTGCTGATGAGCTCTGCGTGGTTACCTGTGCTCTCCACGCTGGGCAAACAGGAAATGAAATTCAAACGTTCGTGGGTCTTTTCCTGTCTACCTAGTCAGTGCATCTGAGTTGAGAGTGCAGTCCAGAGCGGTCACAATGAAGCACTGTGGGATAGCTCCCGGAGGCCAATAACGTCAAATTCCATCCACACTCCCCCAATTCCAACCCGCAAAGGCCGATTTTATCGCTAATCCCCTCATCGAAGGTGGTGTAAAGAAACCAGTTTAAAGGGCCCTTTAAGTCGAAAGAAAGAGCTTCGTCGTGTGAACGTGTCCAGGCTTAATTCGATTTAACGCTGCTAAAGTCGACCTAAACCCGTAGTGTAGACCAGGCCTTAGCCAGCAAATTCCACAGAAACAACAGGCATTCTTCAGAGGCTGATTGATAGGCACCCATTCCTAGTGGATGAAAGAAAGTCCATCAGGGAGCAAAAATCCCATCAGGGTTTGGGTGGGAATAAAAATATTTTGGTTGGTGATGTGAAAACATAGAGACAAAAAGACACTGTAGATATATAGATAGCTAACCTTGTATCATTTTTAACTTGTTAAACAGCTTATTTCCTTTCTGTTTGAAATGGGTTATACAGGAAACCAGCAGGAGATGGATATTTTAATTGTTGGCAACGGTCTCCTCGATCCAATCAACCTAGTTGCAGACCTTGGTGTGGACTCCCAGGTAACCCTGTAGAGCACACTGTGACATTCTATACCTTGGGGGAATGCCCTGTAACCCCCATATTCCTCATTTATGTATAATTGTAATCTTGTATATAAAGCATGCCATGTGGGGTATCAGGGTAAAGTTTATGATCTAAATAAGTATATCATTAGTGCATATGAAGTTATGAGATTGTGTTGTATGGTTGTCAGTAAAACATGCTGTATATTGGGGAATCGGACAGATATTAGTTTCCCAGAGACAACAGCAAGGAAAGTAACCAACGCCCATCACCTGCCATTGTCCAGCAGAGGAGTTACAATTCAATGACTCACTCACAGGAGACACACTGGGGTATTGCTTCGCCTTGTGAGTGAGCAATGCCAACTAGACATGCCTGGACTTGTGTTCTCCAAACACATGGGCCAAGAGTATAAAACAGAACACAGTGGTCCTATACTTGGCCTTTCTCCTTCCTCCACCTATGCTGCAAGCAACAAGGACACTGAGAAGACTGAAGACTCCAACAGAGGGGACTGGCTCAGGTTTCAAGGGTGAAATTGTGTACTACAATATCCATTAGGGTGGGAAAAACTGCTTAATCTAGATGTTTCCCAGTCTAATTGGTTGAGAGTTTAGACTGCATGCTTATATTTATTTCTGATTTTTTGCCTATCTTTTGTAGTCAATAAACTAGTTTAACTGTTTATCTTTACCAGTGACTTCGCCTGAAGTGTTTGGTAAGGGTGCTTGCTCAGGTTTAGAAAGGCTGGTGTATATCCACTTTCCATTGATGAAGTGGTGAACCAATTAATAAATTTGCACTGCTCGTCTTGAGCAGTGCAAGACAGTATATTCCTGAGGTACAAGGCTGGGAGCTGAGGGGATTTGGCTGGTGCCTTTCTCTGTATGATTCATGAGTGGCTCTGGGAGCATTCATGCAATTTAGCTAGGTGTGGGGCTCCACATGCAGTTATGCTGAATGATAACAGCTCCTGGAGGAGTTTGCTGCTGGTCCCTAGCAAAGCATTCTGAGAGACAGCCCAGGCTGGAGAGCTAAGGGGGCACAGCGGTCCCACAGTTTCAGGCTGCACCCCGGGGACCCCGTCACACACACACAGTCCCCCAGGACATGACTCCCTGGAGCTTGCCGTTGCACATGACGGGGACACCAGAATTGCCCTGTGAGGGAAAGGGTTTGGGTGTTACAGACACGAGCTAATTCAGGCATGTTTTCAATTAATTAGAGGGGAATTTTTAAAGCTTTGGGTAAGATACTTAAACTAAACAGGGTCTGATGTGTCAGATGGGTTGGAAGGAGGAAAGGTGAAAAGAGACCTCAAAATCCCTCTTCCCAACTCAATGAGTTCCTTTTCCAGACCATCCAATCCCTTTCTCTTCTCATCAGCAGCTGGAAATAATATCCTAGAGGTTCAAAGCTCCATATGGTGCATCCCACAATACTCTGAACCAAGACTGGACTGGGGCAAGAGAACTAAAGGAAGGGCTTTGAATCCTGTGCTTCAATCCCCAATAGGGTATTGTAGTAGTCTTGGCCGAGGTTTGGCCCTCAGCGGGGCTGTGGGGTATCCCACCGCCTTGCTCTGGTCCGCTGTCCGTCCTGGCCCAGCGGTAGTGTGGGACAGCAAACTCACGGTTAGGGGCTCAGGCCCTTAAGCAGGGGCTGAGCCAATAGATCAGAAAAAGCCCTGGGCCCTCAATCAGGGCGGGGCAGCAACCACGCAGTCTGGAGCTCAGGCCCTCAAGCAGGAGCTGAGCCAATAGTTCGGGAACCCAGGCCCTTAAGCAGGGGCTGAGTCAATGTTTGTAGCATTGTTTGTGTTGTATGGTTGTCAGTAAAACATGCTGTATATTGGGGAATCAGCCAGATATTAGTTTCCCAGAGACAACAGCAAGGAAAGTAACCAACGCCCATCACCTGCCATTGTCCAGCAGAGGAGTTACTGTTTGTAGCAGGCCCCAGCCTCTCTAGGCCAGGGAAAAGGGGGAGTCTGCCACCCAAGGCGTGGGTGGCAGGGGGGACACAGGCCCTCCCACTCAACTGCGTCCCAGCCCGGGGCCCTAGCAGTGGCGGAAACTCGCTGCTGTCAGTGAGGATCCTGACATAGGCTCGGGCAGTGCTGCAGCCAGACTGGGGTCGGCTGCCCCCGGGCTACTTCCACACTCCCCTTCATATGGTACCTGGGTCGTACTAGTGTCCTCGGTGCTCTCCATCAGCATCGGATCCTCCGGGTAGGTAGCGAAGGGTAGGTTCGGCCCCTCCTCCGGATAGCAGGAAAGGGGCAGGCTTGGCCAGTCCTCCTCAGGGTAATGGGCAAGGGGTAGGCTTGGCTGGCCTGGTGAGTCAGCAGGCCGGTCGCAGCCTGCTGCTGTCTCCCAAGCGGGAGCCCGGCCACAGACGTCTGCTCTCTCCGACGGCTTGTTCTCCACTGAGCTTGCCAGGCTGGCTTTTATACTTCCGGGTCGGTGCCGTGTCCTCTGAGGGGCGGGCGCCGGACCCGGTGGCTTTGCCCACTTTGGTATTAGGGGAGGTTCGGCCCTCAGTGGGGCTGTGGGGTATCCCACCGCCTCGCTACAGGTATCCAATCTGTCCAATCAGAGCCTGGATCAAAGCTCGTCTCCCAAAGTTAAAGCCATATCATCTTCAGCAAATTCTTTCTCCTATTAAACTGCAGTTAATTCTTTTCAGATGCTCTGAGCTGATCAGAGCTTCTTCACTTGATCTTCAGACCCTCTCATCCCATCTTCCCCTTCCACCATCACTAAGTCCATCCAGGGGCTACCCTAAACCTTGCAGATCTGATTCAAACTTCTCATCCCTTGCTTCAACTCTGCCATAGCCCAAACCCCTTGCAGTGCAGTCCCCTTTTGCCCCCTCCTCGGCACCAGCAATGCTGGCATATAGACACCCACTCTGTTTTCATGCCTTTTTCCATGCTGTCCATCATGCCTAGTTCCTACTTGCCAAGCTCCCCATCCTTCTTTACGTTCTACTCCCTTCTAAGGACTTGCTGCTGTTGTGTCACCACAAAACTGAGTTAACTTATATCATAAAGTAGCTTTGGCACTAACAGTGGAAGAAGTGGCATGAGAGTAGCTGAACCATGTCTGTGCAGAAAGAGAAGACAGAGGAAAACATCTCACCTGGCAGGAGTCTTTGCCACCCTCCAGGTATCCCAGGAACATCATATTTTCAGTGATTTTGCCTGTATCCATTAGGACAGGAACATTCATGCACTGTAGGAGTTCTGGAAGGTCATCTGCCAAGACAGAAAAAGAGGAGAACACTACTGTTAAGTCTAAGAAATCTGAGAGACCACATAATTCACATACTATTAGAATTACCTAGAAATTAAAGCAAAACATGAGCTATTAAGTTGAATGAACCATCCAAATTTTGGATGATTCCAGGGGGACTTTTAAGCCAGCAAATTCACCTCTACTGCTAAGAACCTGATAATGGACTTTGAAGTCTCTGTATGTATCTGATTGCTTTACCATTTAACAACTCTTCTTGTATTTTCTTTTTTCTTTATAATAAGCCTTTAGTTTTAAACACTAAAGGATTGGCTGGTAGTGTGGTATTTTGGGTAAGACCCAAGCTAATATTGACCTGGCAATGTGGGTGGCCCTCTGGGGTTCAGAACAACATTTCATATATATCACTTGTGTCTGATGAAGTGGGCATTCACCCACGAAAGCTTATGCTCCAATACTTCTGTTAGTCTTAAAGGTGCCACAGGACCCTCTGTTGCATTTCGTATATGTGAGCAGAGTTTTTAAATAACTTCTCATTGTACTGGGCCTAGGTGCTGAATGGGAGCCAGAGAACTAGAATGTAATAAAGGGGGCTGTGTGATTTCTTTTTTCAACTTCTCAATAACCAGTGTTAGGGATCAGAAGCACAGTTTGTGACTGGTTGGTGAATCTAACTTCAGTGTAACTCCCCAAACTGGTGATTATCAGCTCTCCCTTTTGCAGCCTGTCTGACCTTTGCATTTTCAGTGAGGGCTACCCCAGGCACCTGGGGTCACAGTGGCCACAGTTTTTGCATGCAAAAATGGAAGTGCCCAACATCAGTGGCCATTTAGGAAAATTCTGAAGTATATTTTTATATTTAAACATAGTCCTCACCCCTTTATTCACCTCTTCATTCTCAATATCTGTTCATACTGAGGGACTCCCACTTCCTGTGCTGGGGGCACTGGCCTCTCTCCTGGGAGATGGAGGAATTTGTATAGAGAGGAGGGGAGTCTGGAGCACTGTGTAGCTCTGCTGTAGGTCTGCTGTTGGTGCAGAAAAACACAGCAGAGTGATTTGCTGTCATAGGGTAAATAGTCAAGTGAAAGAGTGCGATCTCAGGGTGGGAGGCTGTGAATCCCTCTGCACTATCATCACCCTCTCATAGAATCATAGAATATCAGGGTTGGAAGGGACCTCAGGAGGTCATCTAGTCCAACCCCC